CTTGAGCCTCAAACTTCTCGAATGAATTTCATCACAGGACCTTTGCCAATTACGGCCATGTCTTAACTCGTGGTGGTCGGCATCGTCTTATATAGATTTTTAGATATACGTTTCGTCTAAGTACTATCTAACCTTTTTGTTTAATGTGAATTCTTTATCGTTACCTTTCTCTGTGCTTCGGTGTTAGAATTTGTCTCAGTTGTAGTAATACCACTGGAAGAAGAATAAATTTTTTTGCTTTTGATCGATGTATAAATGATTTTGGAGTCGATATGCAGACAATGAATACCGGCAATATATGTTTTAGATGAAGCTGACCGGCCTAGAACTTAGCCGCTCATGAAACCCATAAACCATGGAGAACAACCATGAAGATGAATACTAGTTTGTTCTCCTTGTGATGCAGGAACCATTTCGATGCCATGATGCTTGTGAACGACCAACACTTCTTGTTAAAAGCTACTTGGGTCCGTGGAGTCATGTCGAGGAAAGACACTGAAGAGAAATTTGGTCACACTAAGTTCATATAGAGGATTTTTATGCTCAGCCAGAGATGCAAGGGCAGTGACAGTGAGTGTGAGTGTGAGCTATCACTGAAATAGGGTGCAAGCTCTAGAGAAGCAAGGAGTTTAGTTTCCCAACTATGAATCCGGAGAGTAAAACCGTGTATTGTAGATCATCAAAATCTATATAGCTGCTGCTTGATCTTGCTACCAACTATCCATCGTGTTAGACTCGGAACACATGGGTCGATCAGGCTCGGCTTACAGGAGATTAGTAAGGGTGCATCAAGAGTTTGTGTTCCAGTCTATTTCACACAACTTTAATTGGAACTAGACATACTTTTCAAAACCAAACACTTTCAGATTTCTAAACAGAAAAAGGCCAGTGCTATTTGGTTATGCCCAAATCGCACGTCACTTGAATGGGAACACAAGGTTGCAAAGTTCATCAAAGCAGGAACCTCTATTTCTTTCGATTCCAACTCACATCACTCCTACACTGTCACTCATACGGCCATTATAGTTGAATCGAAGATGAACCAAGGCGTAGGTAGTTTGGTGTTACTTCCAACGGAGGTTGAACCTTGCACCTCAGTTCTAGTCTTGTATTGAGAATTTTTTGGTTTACGTACGTCCCATCAAAGATCCACAATTTTCTAGTTAACAAATAAAATAAAATAAAATAAATCATTTTTTTTTGTTAAGAAGACTTCCTAGTAGTATGAAATCATTAATAAACTTTTGATCAACTACGGAATTAAGAGAATTTCTAGCATTAGCATCGTTTAGAGTATTATGTTAAACGTATTAGCTCCACTGAGCTAGTCCCACAACTAAAATAGTTATCACAGTCTCGCTTGATCTCAACTCGTTTAAATGGTAAACAATAAATCAGAAATTGGTTTCTTTTTTTT